CGCTCCGGAGGTGTGGGGGGGGGGACGAAGGAGGGGGACAACTCTGGGCGCGCGGGGGACTGCGACCCGTTCACTTCTGCAGTTCCCACCCCTGTGTGCCCACAGATGAGAACACACAGAACAGGGCGGAAAACCAAATGCACATTTATTAAGCTCAAGACGTGGACACCGCGGGGCCAGGGCACGGATGCTCCCGAAGGAGACAAGGGGGTTGGGGGAGCAGCACAAGGGGTTCCTGGGGAGCTGGGGGTGGACTCCCAGATCCCAGGAGCTGGAGGCCTGAGTCCCTGGATCTGGGGTGCAGACAGGCTCTTTGGGGGATCGTCATTGCCAAGGCCTGGGAAGGGACAGCGGGGTGCAGCGGCTCCAGCCTTGGGGTGAGTGGGGCGGCTCATTCGGGGGAGCGTCCCCGGCGCGAGGCTGGGGTCCCCACCGCCTTCACCCGGTCCTCAGGCTCCCGCGTTGGGCGGGGACAGCAGTGGAGGTTCCCGTTGGCTCGTTTTACACGCCGCCGCCGCCAGGGGCTGGGAAAAGAGGAGGGGCTGTGTTAGCCCGCGGTCCCCTCCCCAGAGTCCGCCGGCTCGGGATCCGCAGGTCCTGGAAGCTGGACCTGCAGACTGTCACTCGTGGGGCAGGACTGCAGGTGGGGACCTCTTGCCTGCTCGCACCTGCTACCTGCTCTCTGTGGGCACATCTGTGTGGCTGCTGTCTATCCCATAGTGAAATCAAGGAAGGAAAGAGCTTCAGCACCCAAGGGCAACCTGGGCTTTTCTGTTGTCCTCTTGCCAGAAAGTGAGTACCCCACCCGCTTCTTCACCTCCAGTCTCCTCTCTGGCCCTTGTGTCTTACATCCTGAACATTGTGACACAACAAATTAATTCCGTTTTCTGCCCACTGCAGACCGTCCTTCGACTGGGAACTGGGGGTGGGGTTTGGTGTCAGAATTCTGCAGATTCTCAAACTGGGCCCCAGGTGTCAGGGCCAAACACCAGCATCTACACTGCACCCCACCTGCACCCACAAGGCGCAGTGTTAATGTCCTCAAATTCCTTAAAAGAACATGAAACAAAATATGCAGTTCCATACCAAATTCCCCCAAGCCCCTCTCCTTTTTAGTTATAACAATTATATAAGAGGCAAAGAGATTCCTGTCTTTTGATTTTTTTTTTTTTCAAAAAGTCCCTGGAAAGGATGCAGTTCCACTAAAAACAGGTCAAGATATTTTTGTATAATTAAGACTAACACCGCCAAGGAGTTGCAATCTTTCATCTGCATGCTGGTCTCCACCCCGCATTCCACCCCTCCCTTCCATCCACCTGCACCCACTGAGCCCCCACCCTCCTTTTCCCCTACCCCTCATTTCTATCCCTTCCTGACTCCCCTTTCTACCTCCTCCAGGACCTCCAGGACCTCCATCCTCTTCCCTGTGTGTCTCCCTTCTGCAGCCCCACATCCTCTCAGCTACTTTCCCCAATATGAATTTTTAAGTCTGTATTCTAGGCATCTCTCTCTTTGTTATTCTGATTTAATTATTCAGTAACCTGTCCTCTTTCCTTTCTTTTCCTTTCTCTTTCCCTCCGCCCTAGATGGGCCCTGCTGAATGATAAAATCTAGAAGGCATTCTATATTCCTGTGGCAGGGTCCCCCGTCCTGGCTGGCAGAAGTCCAGGAGGTTCCCCTTTCCTGGGCTTGCGCCTTTCTCCCTTGGGACATGGGTTTGTTCTTGCTTTTTGAGGTTTTTGCCTCTGTTTCTGCGAATCCTTGTACTGTGGACTCAGGCTGTTTCCTCCCTACTGCCCCCTGGTGGCTGGACGTCTTCCCTGCTCCAGGGCTCAGCCACCTGCGGAATTACCCTTGTGCCTCTGTTGGTGCCCAAGCTCTGGCATTTCTATGGCTGTCCCCATAGGGATTCCCCTTTCGCTGCCACCTACCAACCTCCCAGAATGCACATGCGCATTCTCACCCTCACCTGAGGATGGAAGCTCCGACTTACAGGACTTGCAGGTGGGGCTGTAGAGGCAAAGAGAGAGAGAAGAGCTTGAAGGATCTGGCAAGTCAGGCCCTTCTGGGCCCTTCTCCGGGGAGGCTCAGAGGCCTCAGGCTGTCCCTACCACCCCCCTCTCCCCACTGCGGCCAGACCTCTCAGACCTGGAGTCTGCCTTTCTGCACTTCACCTTCTTGCCTGTGGGGAGACAGAGAGACAGAACGAGAAGCTAGGGACAGAGCACACAGAGTGCAGACAAAAGCCAGCAGAGGACCTTAGGTGCCCAGGGACACCACGGAAGCTCAGGAGGGTCAGACTTACTGATGATGATGATGATCCCCAGCAGGAACATTATGGTGGCTAGAGTCAAGCCCACCGTCTGCACCGTGGCATAGTCTAGGGAAGACCACAGGGAGATCAGGGCGGCCGGGGCCTCAACCTCTGCCCACCCAGAGCTACCAGCCAGGGGCCCCAAATCCAGGGTGTTACAGGCCACACTGATTCCCTTCTCAGGGCTTGGGCAGGATCGGTTCCCGTTAGTCTCTCTGCTCACCGCCTTCCTCCCCTGCCCTCTCCCTCATATGAGCTTATGGACCTGCTTCCTCTCAGATCCTGGTCCTGCCACCACTGCCATCTATCCGTCCTGCTGAAGTGTGCTTCTCTGTGACTTTGCCGCCTTCCCGCAGTGACTGGGTCCTGCTCAGCTCAGAACTCACCCTCCCTGGCTCCCACTGCACTCCAGGCAAAAACCAAGGTCCTCACCTGGGTCCTCAAGTCCCCAGTCCAATCCACTCTGTCCCTAGGCCTTTACTTCAGCCACAATGGCCTCCTTGATGTTTGTGGAATGCATCAGGTTCCTCAGGACCTTTGCACTTGCCATCCCCTCGACAGGAAAGCTTTTCCCCAGAGGAACTTCTGAGACTTATTCAGATGACAATTTGACCTTCTCCATCTACTTAGAATTTTCCCATCTTCTCAACACTAATTCTGTTCCCTCTTCTATTTTTCTTCATGAGATTTATTCTTCTCTCACATTCTTGTCTCGTAAGTAATTTTCATTTCATTTGGTTGAATATCTGTCTCCCAACTGAGTGTTGGATCAAGGAGGGCAGGCATCTTGTCCGTATTGCTGACTGCAGTGTCGCCAAGAGGCTGGGACATTGCCTGGCATCGAGCATGTGCTTGGTAAGTATTTGCTGAAATGCCAGTTTGTGGAACACTCACTCTCTCCCAGCTGTGAGCCAGGTCTCTGGCCTCAGGCAATTGACTTTCATGTTATGACGAACGCTCATCAACAAATGGCACAACCTCCCCCCACAAAAAACCCAAAAACTCAAAAATCCAAGTCATTGCTGGCTGTGGTACGGCACTTTTTGCCAGGGAATCTGGGACGGCCTCTCTTAGCAAGCAGTCAATATTTGATCTGAGGCCAGAAGAAGGAAAAGGAACCCTAGCCAGCTTCAGGGAATGCTAGGGAGGTAAATTCCTGGCAGAAGAGCAGCAAGTGCAAAGGCCCTGAGGTGGGGAGGAAATTGACATATTGGAGGACCAGTGTGAGTGAGCAAAAATGGGGGCGAGGGGTATGTGCAGAAGAAACTGGGGCTAGATCCTCCACAGGGCGGTAGAGCTTCTGTGCCATGAGGACAGTATAAAGGCATCATCCAGGTAACTCTTCCTCACAGGCCTCAGAGCTGGGCACTACTACCATACCTTGTTTACAGAAGGGCCCAGAGAGGTAAGTCACTTGCCCAAGGCCACACAGCTAGGGAATGGATAAGCCAGAACTGGAATCCAGGGGACCTGGGCTCAGTGTCATTACTTTTAAGGTGTTCTCTGCCTGTTTCTCTAGTGATTTCAGTGCACCTGCCTGATGATTATATTTTAAGCACCCATTGAAGTGGCTGGAGCCTTAAAGAGGCTCCAAAGAGTGGGAGACCACTTCCCTCCCCAATCGGGTTCTCCCTCCACACAGGCAGCTGATGTGACTGTACCCTCGTGGCCACCCGGCCAGTGGCCAGTGTATCACATAGCCACAGCTGGAGCCTTCAGCAGTAGCCTGTGAGAATCTGCAGCTACCCTTCCATCCAGCTCTAGGGTGCCCACATCACAAATCCTGATACTCACCATAGAAAAATGGGTCAGATTCCTCAGGGCCTATGGGAAGGAAGGCAAGAGAAAGAGTGGGAAAAATATTTCAACGCTAGCTTCTTAACTTTATGGGGAGCGGGTACTAGGATTCAGCCCAGGGCCTAAGCATTGAGCTACATCCCCAGCCCTTTTCATTTTGAGACAGGACCTCACTAAGTTGCCCAGGCTGGGCTTGAACTTGCAGTCCTCCTTGCCTCGGCCTCCCAGAGTGCTGGGATTACACATGTGTACCACCTGCCTGGCCAAATTTCTTAACATTTTAAAGGACCTGGGTGGGGCCACTGAACCAGGAATTTCTCTGTGGAAATCAGAGAAAGAGGGCCCTTGCTCTGGATTACACGGACTCATGGAGGAATACGGGCTTGACCAGTGGAGTATAGGAAAGAGTCCACCAGTCGGTTCCATCCCGTGTACGGCGTACAATGTATCCAACCATGCGCAGCAGTCCTGGTCCTAGACTGCTTAGAAATCTAATGCAAGCAATGGACTGAAAAACACCGATGCAATCCCATTTACATATGATGCTAGGGGTTATCAGACCCCAGTCCATCTGGTGGATCCCTAAGTCCATGGCTGCTCCTGAACACTCCCTAAGTCTGCTCCTGCTCTCTGTCACTCCCTCCTGCCACCAAATCTAGTTCAGAGGAGCTGTGATAATTCATATCTTATATTACTTATTTCTAAGACCTCAGCGATGTGAAGATTCCACATGGATTTTGCAGTGGTATTCCTGGTATGTGTGCATGTGGATAAACCGCACAAAACACGTGAGGCACACTCATCCACTAGAAGACTCACCCTGATTTCAGAAATGCTAGTGCATGGATAAAATGCTAGTGCATTGTGTGCCATGGTGGTGCACATCTGTTATCCCAGCACTCTGGGAGGCTGGGGCAGGAGGATCTTAAGTTTGAGCTTAGTCTGGGCAACTTAGCAAAGCCTCATTACAAAATTTAAAAATCAAAAGAGCTGGGGACGTAGCTCAATGCAAAGTCCTGAGTTCAATCCCCAGTACCACTCTGTGTGTGTGTGTGTGTGTGTGTGTGCGCACGCGCGCGCGCCTGTGGATCTCTTTCTCATTTCTCACCTCCCTACCACAAACCGCATCCACCCTCAGGAGAGCTCAGAGCATCTTCCCATTACACAATGGATGGTCCTGTACTTCCTCAGAAGTTCTAACTGGGCCCTAGCTTGTCTGGAGCTGGATTCTGCAGAGCAGAGCAATTAGGAGAGGGGCGCCAGAGTCGGGGCACAGAGTTACAGAGTTCTTCTCCCCCTCCCAGGCTCCTCAGAGAAGGACAACTCCCTTGAGGTTGTGCGGGGCCATGTAATTAATCCTGGCCCATGAACTGTAAGTGGAAGTGTTATTGTCCCTTACAGGCTGGAGCATCCGAGGGCCCATGCAACAGCTCTCGTCCCTGGCGTGGTGACCCGAATATCCAAGATGGCCACTGCTCTAGTTTTCTTTGGTGAGTAGAGAGGCCTTTCATGGACACAGAACATCCGTAAGACATAACCCTAGTGGCCCTGACCCACTGAGACTTTTGGTACTATTTGCTTCCGATGCAAACTGTAGTCCGAACTGACTCGTACAGGGGTCTCTGGGACATGAACATGAGTAGCACTAATTCATTCACGCAGTGTGTCAGTTTGCAATTTTCATTCTTCAAGGAGGAAGCCTGGGACTGGGAATTTAGCTCAGTGGTTCCACTGCCTGCCTCACAAGCACAAGGACCCGAATTCCCGAGTTCAATCCCCGGTACCAAAAAGAGGAAGACTGGCTACTCAGATGTGTTTTAATAGCTGCTGGTACTTGTTAGTCTCCCCACCCACCTACCCTACCCCCCATCACCCAGGAGAAAACAAGCCTTGTGCTCAGAGTCTTTGGCAGGAGACAAAATCTACGTAGAATTTTATGACAATGTTGGGTTTTCTTATTTGTTTAGCCAGCAATGGACAGCACTGACCCTGTGTCCAGATGCTTCCAGGCTCTTTACAATGTGAAGATTTAATCTCGGCAGCAACTCTGACACAGGTAGTATCTTCCTCCTCGTTTCATGAAATGAGATGCTGTACCCAGAAAAGTCAAGTCACTTGTTTAAGACTCGCTTTTATGCTTGCTTTCAATTAAGGCCCCCCCAAAATCTTCATTTTGCACCTGTGGTGGCAATATACAATAAAGCTAATGAAGTATTTTAGAAAGTTAATACTGGAAATATGAGGCAGGAAAATTGCAAGTTCGAGCCCAGCTAGGGCAACTTAGTGACTGAGGAAGACCCTGGCCCAAAACAAAAGGGGGGAGATGTAGCTCTATGCAAAGGCCTGGAGTTCAACCAATCCCCAGTACTGGAAAAAAGAAAGGTTAATCCTTTGAAGGAAAAACATTAAATAAGTAGCAATGCAGGGAACATCGGACATTTGAATACAGGCAAAATCCCAAAAATGGGCTGAGCGTGGTGGCGCATGCCTGTAATTCCAGCACTCAGGAGGCTGAGGCAGGAGGATCATTGTGAGTTTGAGACCAGCCTGGGCTACAAAGTGAGTTCCAGGTCAGTCTCAACTACCTAGTGAGACCCTGTTTCAAAAAAAAAAAAAAAAAATCCCAAAGATGGTATTCAAAAGCATCCAACCAGGGATACAGGGTTTCAGAGTCACCTGGGCTCCGTATTAGCTCCCCCACCCAATGCTGAGTTAACCTGACTCATCTCTACCTTTGATCCTGGCATTTACAAAAGGCTCTCAAAGAATTTTCCTGGAATGAGTGAATGAATGAATGAACAAATGTGAGCCCCTCCTAGGCTGTAGCAGGCTGCTTCAAAGGTGGAACCGTTGGATTATCTCACTTCTGTCTTCTGGTTTTCCGCACACCCTCCTCCATAGTTCTCAAGAAACCACAGTGTGAGTGCCAGTCCCAGAATCCCCTTGGGCCTCTCCCTGAATTCAGGTGCTCCTCCTGGTCCCCGCTGGCCCAGTGCCCTCAGGGTGTGGCTGGGCTAAGGGTGGAGCCAGGAGGCAGAAAAAGGAATGTGCACTACTTCTGGCCGGTTGCCAAGGAGAGATCAGGAAGGAGGTGGTTGCTATAGCAACCAGGGCAACTTGAGTGGTGCCAGGTCCCATCACTCCAGGTTGGGTGGGGTCCTGTGTGAGGGTTGAGGGCTGGACCCCATCTTGACTCTCCGTCCTCCTTTTGCACCTGCAGGGCTGGCTTCTGGCCAAACTGAGGTCCCTCTCAGGTATGGGACGGAGGCCCAGGTGCATTCTGTTTGCTCCTCACTCTCCCTCCGGTTCTCTGGCAGGTGGGAAGAGCCTCACCTCCCTCTGCTTCTCTCCCCAGCAATTCATTAATTCATTTCCCTAAGCAGCTTGCAACGCACAGTGCACTTTTCCTCCCCAGGGATTTCCCAAGACCTGCGGTCCCCTCTCATGCCGTGACTGGGAGAAGGGGGGCACTGAGGCGTGTGTCCTCCCACCTCGGCCTGTCTGCTGCCATCGATCCTGCTAACCACCACCTCTGCAAAAAGAAGCCCTGGGCTCCCGCCAGACCTGCTGGCTCAGCCCTGCCCCCTCTCCCTAGGGTGGCTTCCAGCCTCTGCAGCCCCCCCACCCGCCCTGCTTCGCATTCTGCAGATACAGCTCGGTGCAGCAGCCCCCATCAGCTGGGACAGGAGGAAGGGAAGGAAAATTCAGAGTGCAGCTGGGGCTCCCTTTACTGGCAGGGGGTCCTCAGCGTCCAAGGCCCTGACCTCGGGGCCCGAAAACCCCTGTCCTTCCCCCGCCCCCACTCAGCAGAAGCAAGCGCACCGTGGGGGACCGCGGGGGGCACAGCGAGAGTGAGTGTTCAAAGGGGCGAAGGTCGGGGTGAATGGGTGTCAAATGCAAGTGGTCTGCTGCAGGATGAGAGTGGGAAGGACATCTGTGCAACCCGTGTGCACCTCTGACACTGGAAACCAGGGAAGGAGGGTCCCACCGCGCCATCCCCACTCTCGGAGGTTCACTGCGGCGGTTCGGGCCCCACCCCGTGCGTCCCCCTTTCTATTCCTTTCCCCTTCCTTCCCTCTGCATAGTCGTCTCAGTCCCTCGGTCTGTGTCTCTCTCTCCCCGCATCTTCCCGTCACTCTCTGAAGCTCTCCGAGTCTCCCACCCATCCTTCGGGGTCTTTGTGTCCCTGACTATAGATCTCCTGCCTGTCTTGTTCTCTTTCTGTCTCTTTCGGATTCTCTTACTGAACCCCCACCCCGTTTTCTCTCTTCTTCGGCTGTTCCCCCTTTACTCTGAGCCTGCCTGGTCGGGATTTCATGGGCATCAGGGCTGGACTGAGAAGGATGTGGACGCCCTCCCTTTGCCCAACCCATGGTCCTCAAATCTTACCTCTGGCTGCACTCCTCAGTTCCCAAAGCCCATCTCTTTCCGACTTCCACCACCGCTCCGCTGGACCAGCCACCCGGTTGCCATAGCAACCTGTCCGCGCACCCTCTCTCCCGGGACTGTCACTCTAATCGTAGACCCCGCACCGGGACGACCTCGCCAGGGAGCGGTATCCCAGAGCCCTCAAGGGGCCTCTAAGGTTGCACGACGGAAGGCTCCGCTGGGGAAGGGGCGACACACTCTCCTCACTCCCCTCCTTTTTCAGGACTAGAATCCCTCCACGCACTCTCTCTTAAGCTCTTAGATCCGAGAGCCCACCCTCGCCACCCGAGCGCCCACTGCCAGGCGACACGCTCACCATCTGTAGGGGTCTGGGTTGGGGTCGCCATGCTGAGCAGGAGCAGGGGGCTGCTGGATGCTGAGGCAGCGAAGGTGCGGCTGCAGCAGCTGGAAGCAGGACAGACTGATGTGGGGGGAAGGTGGGGGGAGTCCTGGTGTTGGGGGTGCCCGTAG